ACATTACATAAGGCATTATCATTGTGCCCTACTGTAAATGTCTATATGGATGACAAACAATTGAGTGCATGTTTGTGGAACTGAATGTCCAATATTCCTTATGTCTTTCATGTCCTTATGTCCTTATGTCTTTCATGCAGGGCTATTTCCCTGGAATCTACCCAAGCCTGGGCCAAAAGCATTCTCCCAAACCAGTCTCACAACAACAACATTTAACAGCTACGTTGGTCCGACTCCACAGGGCAAAACGTATGTTAACAACAAATCCTCAAATAATTTTTTTCTTTAGATTTCTAATGGCCATTGTCCATGTCACGTGATCGTCAACTTTCCCGGCATGAAAAACAAATAGGCAGACACGGGACTTATTTTAAAGGTCTCCTATTATACAATTTTTAGGCATATATTATAGGTCTCAGATTATAAAAAACATGTAACTGTTTTGCTCAAAATATCACCCGTTCTAGCCATGCCTCATACCCCTTCTATTTCAGCACTGCAATTAAAGTGCTGATTCTGGGTCCTTAGCTTTAAAAAAAAAAAGAAAAAAAAAGAGAGAGACGAGAGCTCATGCAGGATAATTCTACCCAGATACTCAGCATGTATCATGTTCCAAACCACATCTCGCGGGTTTACCAAAGGTGAGTACCTTTTTATATATATATAAAAATATATATATATATATATATATATAATAATGAATATATAAGATAGAGAGAGAGAGAAAGTAGAAAAGAGAGATATATATAGAGATATAAAATAAAAGATAGAGAGAGAGATAGATAGAAATGAAAATATAGATAGATATAGAGAGATAAAATAAATATATATATATTATAATAATAAAGATATATAAATAGAATATATATATATATATAATATAAATATATATATATATATATAAATATAAATATATATATATATATATATAAAAAGGTACTCACCTTGGTAAACCCGCGAGATGTGGTTTTGGAACATGATACATGCTGAGTATCTGGGTAGAATTATTATATATATATATATATATCAATAATTCTACCCAGATACTCAGCATGTATCATGTTCCAAACCACATCTCGCGGGTTTACCAAAGGTGAGTACCTTTTTATATATATATATATGATAGCATCCCATAATCCCCTCTGTTTCAGCCCTGTTTCAAAAGTGCTGATTCTCTGTCTGTTACTTTAGATGAAAATAAAGAGCCCCTCTCCACACCCCTCAGAGATATTTGGTTAAAAAGAACACAATGGTGCTCTGAGGAGATTCAGGTGATAAGGTTGGGGGGGGTTACCTTGGTTGGTGATTGGCTAATGGTTACACAAGCCAAAAAAATCGTTATGACATCATAAAGTGGGCAAAATCTGATCAGCTCACTTTCAGACAGGTTTTTATAGAAATGGATCAGGACAAAAAGAGAGAGAATCTTTGTTCCTGAAACTTTCAGAGTCTCTTTACACAGAGGGGACACATGTTGATGTATAAAAGACATGGAAAAGTGGATTTTGCATAATAGGTGACCTTTAATAATGCTTTCATTAGATCTAATCCGAATTTGCTGAAATTAAAGTACAGAATATGTAATTCAATGGTAGTAATAGTCTATCATTCAGTTTTAGATGCTCAATGGTGCCCTTCTCCTTTGCTTTACAGTCAGAAACCAGAGCTATAAGTGGACTGCTCCAGTGGCTTCACATCACATAATACAGTAAGTAGCCTTATAATCAGCAGCAGCTGCCACGTCAGGAGCAAGTTATTACAGCCAACACGCCATCTAGTGGTCTCTTTGGGAATCCTAATTTGGTTTAAATTGAAACAGACTTTTCTCCACGCCTTTAGACCAGGGGTGGAAAAAGTACTCAATCTTATACCTTAGTAAAAGTAGAAGTACCAAGGTTATGGAATACTCTGTTACAAGTAAAAGTCCTGCATTCAAAATGTTACTCAGGTAAAAGTACAAAAGTTTTAGCATCCAGGGCTTGAAAAGAGCGTTATGGGATATAAACCGTATATATACCATTGTGGTATGTGATGCACACAGAATGTCACATTTTAGCAGAGGCAGGCAGTTTGACATGTTTTGATGTCAGCACAGATTTAATTGATCAGCATGAGGACAAACAGCTGTGCCCCCTGCATGCACTGACAAAGTGGTCTGGCTTAATAGTGTTTTGTGGTGTCTTAGAATACCACAAAACACACTGAGCCCATTTTCAACTTGTTCTTGATTTCTATCCCACATTTCCTGCAGCCAAAAGAGAACTACCATTTCCAAAACAGCAGAGATTAAAACAGTTTTTCAGTAACAGAATCTTTCTCACGTTGTCCCTCTGAACTCTGTCTGGATGTCAGCTCAAGTTTGTATGCATAAGGAAAAAGAGTGAGGGGGGAGTGGAGACATAAACAAAGGCGTAAAACCTGCCGCCTGTGCAGATGGACAACAGATGCCGAACAGCTACTTGTTTAGGAGCTTTTATTCTGAAATGATTTGAGCTTCATGAAATATAGGGGAGACCAGGGACAGTTGCAACACTTTTGGGGTTTTTCCCCAATAAGTAAAAAAACATTTACAATAGGATAGCCATTTTGCTATATTATCAATATGTCAGCTACTGAAACAATGTATTTAAGATGTTTTTATGAAATAAGTACAGGTTGGAAAATGTATTTTTTTTTTTTTAACTCAACTGTTACAACTGTCCTTGTGTACAGGGACAGTTGTAACACATGCCAGGCACGGTTGCAACATGTTAATAACGGATACCTTTTTCACACTACATGACAACAAATAGGGAAAGCTGTCAAATTCTAAGGCAACAAGATTTGAATGGGGTTTCACACATCCCCCAATGAACAATGAGCAATGAACAGGATAACAGATAACACACACAGCATCATCCTCTGTGAAGGATTAAACTGTTCTCTGAGAGGTGCTTCTACCTTAATTATGTAGACCTACCTCCTTTGAGCTGAGACCATAATATAAATCAGCTGCCTCCATCAGGTAGTCTCTCAAAAGCATCTCCTGCTCTGTTGAGAACACCTTCTTTGGTGTCTAGTAGCCTACTCTTGGGGGTGTTTGTGATCCCTGACTCTCCAACCTCAGCCTCTTTGTATGGAACCGGTACAGGGTGACATGGCATATATCCAGGGACTTTACCACTTCCCTGAATGATTCGCCCTTCTCAACTTCATTTGAGGCCCTCTGCAGCAGAGCAAGTGGCACTCCCCTGTCTCTCTTCCTCTTTCTGACATGTGGCATACTGTAAACACACACACACTTTAGGCCTACTGTACAGTATTATATTCTGTTTCTTTTTACAGGGACAATGCACACCAATCAACAACACAACTGTATGCTTGAATGAACAATTGGTCATTCAAGCAAATGAGCCATCATTGTAAATGTGCCATGTTACAACCGTCCCGTTACAACCGTCCCAGGACCACCAGTCTTGCTTCCACCCCCTGTGAACCTGCCTGGTTGCTAGCTTGACCCATATTTAGCTAGTTATATTTGTAGCTTACAAAACAGTGATTCTAATAATACTAGTTTGGATTCCTTGACATTTGAACTCAAGACAGTATCCAAAAAATACATCATATCATTTTAGTTAATATTTTACCTCTGAAACACACTTTTGCTGATAACTTACGCGAGAAATTCAAACGTGGCTCCTTTTTTTCTCAGCGATCTTACCATCTAACTGCGCATGTGCAGAGTGAGTTTCATCACTCTAGCTTGTTTGTGATTGGAGATATTGAAGGTGTTACAACCATGGTTACAACCGACCCGTGTTACAACTGTCCCTGGTCTCCCTACCGTGCTTTTCTCTGCTGTGAATTGCAAGTATTATAATAATTAAAGTAATGGTAAATACAATTACGGGATTTTCTGCTTTGAATAATCATGACTACAGACCAAAAGTAGTTCTAACCATAGCTATTCATAAAAGTGTCTTAAAGGTCACCTTTTACGCAAAATGCACTTTTTGATGAGTTGCATTTAAAGCTACAGACGCAGAATCAGCACTTTGTGCTGAAGGTAGTAGGTACCTCATACCCTGAGGGCTTGAATATAGGGGCATGGCTACAGTTGGTAATCTGTTTGGTATTTTGAGCAAAACACTTCAGAGACATGTTTTGTACCGATATGGCCCTTCTTGGGAAGCCCACTGGAGCTGCTGTCAATTGCAGGGTGAACGAGACTGACATTTTACTCCCTCTTATGGTGTGTTTATTTGAGTTGGTTAAACTAGCAGGGGCATCTTTGGCAGCAATAGACTGGTCTGATTTTCTAGTTTAACGTATTTTTGGGAAATATTCGCTACTTTTGGCCATTTCTGACTGAATCATCCCAATTTTGGATTTTATTTTAAGGAAGTTCCCGACAAGTTATACAGACATCCTTGGTCTCAATGGATCTGCCGACTTAAGAATTGAGCTCTCAGAAAGAAGCTAAACTTCCAAAGGTGATTGGGTCCAGCTATAAATTCACAGAGGGCCAGCTAGGACAGTAAAATTGACCAATCATATCTTCCCTCTAAATGGGTGGGCTTTATTTTCGCGGACTTTATGACAAGTTCCGCCCGCTCTGAAGTGTAAGTATGCATGTGTGTTATAACAACGGGTCAAGCTAGATATAAAATTCACGGCTCGCCACTGCTAATTCAAAGCCACAGCTCAGACACATGTAATGATAAAGATTGTTTGGCTTGTCTCAAACTGAATTAGACATTTACTGAACTCACTTTGTAAAATATGTTGCACAAATGCAGACACAGCATAAATAGCACAAATATTCCTTAAAAATAATCATATTTCCGCGAGTGCTGATGGCTGTGCAACATTTAGGAACTTTCCTGGCATGCAAAGTGCCTAAACGTTCCCGTGTTAGCCTTGAGGTTAACAAAACAACACTGCCACCAAGGGGACAGTTATTTCATTTAAAAAAGAAAATAAGGAGGAGTTGAGGAAAGAACTGGAAAACAACGTTTTTTAGAAGAAGTTATACATTTATTATTGAACCAGCTTTTGAAATCCAAAAGATGGGATAAGGGATTACAAAAAAATCATTGCACTACTTAATAAAGTATTACTAGTAATAACTCTCATACAAAATGTACAAATGTTTGTTAAAAATGTCATTATCATCATAACAGGCCTTCAAATCATTTAGTTACAAATATAATACATAATGAAACTACTATGACACCATTTTGATAGAGCTTCATAAAGTTTAAAAGTCAAAATATTCCAACAACCCAACAGCTTGCATGGAAAATATTAGCAAAATGTATTGATGAGCACTAATCCTACTGCCTGCGCCATTTTCAGGAAATACATAAATAGTGGGACTGAGGTAATTGATATTGTACCAAGCAACATAACAAAACAAAAAACTGTCCAACACAAAACAATCCCAGGATGCTTAATGGATGCACAGTCATAAATATGGCCTTTTACCCAAAAGAAGAAAAGAATAAAGACATCAAACATAATTTCTCTCCGTTACCTCAGATATAACAACTTTATACACAAACAACTGCTTCTCCACTGAGAATGTTGATTAAAAAAACTAAACTGGGGTCTGAACGGATGTATTGGTCTGATATGGACACATTGGATAGAGACGAGATGCAAAAGGAGAAAACGCATCTCCATTGAAAGAGTGTGAATGTAAATATGTAAGGCTGCCATCTTGAAAGAAAACGCCAGTTGCGATGGGATAGAAACGGTTACATTAGAAATCCTGCTCTGTGCGTGAGGTGAATGTTTTAACTTGCCTCGGCTTACAGTATGACATATTGTTGCTGTGGATGCGAGAGAATAATGTTCTGAATGTATTCAAATTCTTCTCAAACACGCATGAGCTGCGGAAAAACTGATCAGTGGTTTCTTTACAATGAAGAAAGCGTGTAGGTCTTACATATTAAAGTGCTACAGTGTCACAACCACCGTCTGGTGAAACAGTAGATTAAGCTATGACCTTATAAGTCTCTTCAAACATTGCATTAATATCTACCAACACTCACAGAAAGCTGCTCGAGTCCCCAGACGGATATAGAAACATGTTCTCAAAGGCCTCAGTCCCGTAAGAAAGCTAGTAAACTCAGCATGTATGATGTCTTGGGGAAATCTGTAATTGATGAAGGTTATGCATTCAGCTCTGTAGGAAACTGCCTTGAGGGAAATCGACGGAAGCCCTCAAGCGCCATACTTCAAACATTCCATTTACCCGGTTTTCCAGTGACAATTGATCAGATTTCTCAAGTTATTTATGTCATTATCTCTAAATAACAATGTTGTTTTCCTGAATGATTTTTAAAAAGATCAAATGTTTGAGATAATAAAATAGTTAATTTAAGATCACAAGAAAACATTTTCTCATGAATTGACATAGGCGTTATCTCAGGAAAACAACACGGGTTCTTTTTTAGATAATTACATTTTGAGAGAAAAAAGTGGAATTAAATTGTTTCCATGGGGACATTTGGGTAATGAAAAATGCGGACCATGGCCTTTTAGGACTTCCATACAAGGTGGATATGGTGGATCCGTTTCCTTCAGGTCAGCATAGTGTGCTTACCAAAGCCACCAGCTGTTACTTATTTGGGACAGGACAATGTGCTGACATCATGTGATTGGGTTTGAGTTGAAGAGGGGGATCATGAGGGTAACAAAACGGAACAAAAAAGCATTGTTGACTTCCTGGAGGTTTTCCTTAAGTGTGATTTGTGAATCTCAGCCATAAACCGGTCTGAAGTTACAGGATTTAGGAAGTCGATTAACTGTATAAATATTAAAGGAAGAATAACACACTTCCACCCAGAGCTAATACAGCCTCACTGTTCCAAAGTAGCTTTGTCACAGTGTGCAATTTCTTTGTTTAAACCCCAAACGGAGTACTTTCACACTGAGGAATGCACATACAGAAATTAAAGATTCAATGATGCTGTTCAACTGTCTTTATAATACCCCTAGTAGAAATGTGAATGCTCAATTATAACCAGATGAAATTGCCATACTCTTTGGACTGCCAATTCTCCCTTAATGTTTTGTTAAAACAACTCTCTTAAAAAAGGGAGTGTTTTTTTCTGTCTTTTCGCGCTCATATTGAGTATTACAAAAATACACATATATATATGTCCACGTGACCATGCCACTGTTTGTGAGTTTCAAAGGCCATTCATAGAAAGGGGTGACCATGAGCAGAAGGCAGAGTAAGGGTGTAAGAGTCCAAAAACAGAATGCCAAGGAAGTCCAGCGGTAAAGTGAGCCAGTAGAAGGTTTGCTGATCCCAGGTTAGTATAACTGTTCAGTGTTTTTGGTGATAGAGAAACAAGGACTAAGGAGCACTGGTCCCCAGGTGTGTGGCAGAATGTGTGAGGGGAAGTGTATGAGAGTTCACTGATTGGTTGGTGCATCCAAAAGGGAGTGTGGGATTGTGAGTGTTGACATGAGGTCACTCAGAATCCCTCTGGACCTCAGAGGCATCGGCTCGACAGATAGGACAGGTTCGGTTAGCCTGGAGGGGACCAGAAAGAAAAGGAGATGAGGGTTAATATACCTAAAAAATGAATATACAACAGATGCTGTCAAATTCAGAGGAAGCGCTCAGCAGATTTAAAAGCCTGCTCACACCTTTATTGAAAAACAGCAAAACCTTTATGCAAAAAAAAACTACTAGATTTGCACCATTGACCAATAGTTTCCAACATTCCAATGACGTACAAACAATCCCTGTCTTATATATTTTGTGTATATATATATATATATATATATATATATATATATATATATTTGAATACAAGTATGGTTTGCAGACAGTGTGAGACAGAAGTTGATGGTCCAAATACATCTTGAATGAACCGTGGCAAGGAATTTCCAACTGAATTCGCCGGACCATTTTCTGGAGTAACTAGGCTTTAAGGGTGCAGTGGAAACACACTGATAAATGGAATGATATCCAAACACCTAAATGTCTTTACTCACCTTAAGCCACTTGTCTACACACTTGGCGTGGAACTCGTGATTGCAGGGCAGGACCCTGAGGAGCTGGCGAGACTCGAAGTCACACATGCACACCACACACCTGGAAGACAAAGCAAGGTTGGAACTATTTAGAAAAACATCTTTCACACCTCCCTAAACTTATAAACAACAACAAACACAGTTCTTACAATGCAGATTAAAAGGAGGAAGGCACTCACATTGTTTGCTCAGACTGATGGTTGTTGGAGTTGAAGCGGTACGATGGAAGCTGTTCTATATCTGCTTTGGTCAGACCGCGGGGCTTTGCCTCCCCGAGACGCTCCGCCAGGTTCAGCAGGGCCTGGAGTTTTCACACAGAAACACAACGTTTAGAGGACAACGTTTGCAAAGGAAACAGTCAAATGATAATTGGCTAAACATGTGGAAGTTTGAGAAGTAATAGAAGTTGAACATGACCTTTTGACCTTTCTACATGTTTTGATATGTTTCTAGTTATTGTGCTTTTTATCTTGTTTTTAATGATCGTTTTATTATTTGACTCCTACTGTGTTATTCTATATTGTATTTGTTCCCTGTACAGCTCTTTGGTCCACTGAGGTTGTGCTATATAAATAAATAAAGATTGAGATTGAAGTCTTACCTCATAGTTCTCCACCTCTCCGTCGTCTACGTCCAGCTCCAGATTGATAGTAGGGGCTACATTGGGGGGCACAGGGAGCATGGACCTGGATGTGGTTGAAGACGGTGACACAAAAATTAGGAACATTTCATTTGTAACGCATCTTAGGGGTACTGAAAATGCCCCTTTGTAGTTCTAACAGTAACAGGAGGAAATGTTAAGACTTACAGGAAGTATGGCAGGAAGCTGGGGTGGTAGGGGGACGGGGGCACCGCCTGCTGGGAGCGGTAACGCCGGCTGGTGAATCGACGAGGCATAAAATGTGGATAGGGCTGTGAAAGGTGGGATAAAGATAATCAATTATATTTATTTTCATCAAAAATCAAACATTTCCAAGGTACCCAATTTATTTCCAGACGTTTGAAGCCTTTTACTAGAAATGCCATTGTACCAACAGCAAATCATGTATATTGTCACTGTGTTCATTTTACTAGCTATTCATTCTAACTTTCATTTTAATTTCCAAAAAAAAGGACCATCAGAAATATAAGAAAAGAAAGGAGTAGATTTTAATTCAAGCTAATTTCTAACCTTTAAAAATAAAATGTTAAAATGATGCTTTTCTCAAACTTGCCAGTCTTTGTAGAATGCTTTCCTCCTACCGTATATATATTTATATTTTTTGTACCATAATCATATATCATGATCCAAAACAAAGGCTAATGAGGTCATGGTTATTAATGCACTCACCGATGGAAAGAGCTCCTGCACCAAGGGGTCGTGGTGCGAGAGGAACTGGAGCGGTGTGGATGGGGGCAGGGTGGGGGGGGGCTGGTGATGATGGTGGTGGTGGTGATGGTGTGCGTAGCTGAAGCCCCCGCCCACTGAAAGCTGCTCTCCCAGAAGCTCAACCTCGTTTTCAATCCTCTGTAAGGGCTGAGGAACAACACAGCACAGTGTTAATGGTGACAAACGGAACAAAAACAGCGCCAAACAAACTGAAATAATAAAATATGAACACTATATGATCTGATGGAAGAACTTAACTGATTTAAATGAGTTATAACATGTACATAAGTTGATTCGAATTGATTTTTTTTGACTGTTATATATCACAAAGAAGTAGAAAAGGGCTTATTAAGCAGACCGCATCAACTCTCCTGACAGTCCAGGAGATGGCGCTGTTTCCCAATGTATCCCTTTTTTGTTTTTCACATGCAGCCTAGTGTTGAAGATTTAAATAACAGAATCATGATTTAATAATCAGATCAAATGTCATTTAACAAAGAAATTCAGGTCAGCCTAATCAACTGGGGTTATCGTCTTCTTCTGTGGTAAAAAGGAGGACTCCCAATTCAGAATTTTTTTTCATTACAGCCATTTTATATAGCTAAATACTTTTGAGACATAATACCTGGCTCTCACAAAAACAATCTTAAACTACTGTTAAACTTTATAAATAAAAAACTAAAACTGCAATTAAATAAAACCTAATTAATTATATACAAAATGTTAACCTTGGTTTGCAAGTAGTTTTGTAAGGTATTCAAGCATATTCAGTACAGCAGATTTAAAAATATGATACTATCATTTATGGGTATTACAGTAACTGCATAATGGCTTCCTGTATGCATGCCAAAGCCCTCATATTGAGCACAGAACACTGCGAAAATCAATTAAAGTAAACTATTATAAAAACCCATCATTTACGTACCGATCGTGGCTGCTGCGTCTGGAAAGGCAGGAACTGTGCGGGTGTGGGGAGGTGGGGCGGGTGGTGAGCGAGGTGGGGGGGGTGGGGAAGCAGGAACTGGGGGTCACCGGACAGCAGCGAGGGGAAGGCATAGGGCATCGGCAAATGTTGCATTGAACACGCCTGTAGCATCTGAGAAACAAAGGTAAGAAGAAAAAGACATAAGAGAAACATTCAATGCATGTTTTCCAATGTGGGTGTAATTCCATATGTCACCATAAGGTGGCAGCCAAGACCTGGAATATTAACAAGCCCCTTTAAACAGGAAATATTCTGCAGGTCTTTTTACTTTTAACCCACTTTGCTTTTGAGCATTTTGCTTTTTCCGTGGTTAAACTGTGAGAGACTGCAAAGCACAGAGTGTCCCTTCTTAGGAACAAACAAGCCCACACACTCCCACAGACTGTTGCTCTCACCGGGTGGTAGTGTTGTCCAGTGCTGAAGACCACGCTGCAGGCGGGGACTTGTTGTTGAGCGGAGCAGGTAGGGGGAAGGTGCTGGCCGCTACACAGGGGCGCTGCCAGACTGTGCGGGGGGACGGGGGTCACCGTGTAGGAGACCGGGACACTGGCCTGCTGCAGCTGGGGAGGGAACACACCAGTTAATATGCAGACACACACAGGATTTCTTGCAGCGGTTATACTCACGATTATATCGGCTAAAAATAATAACCATTCGAAATATTATGCCGATAGTCTCAAAAGTATGGTTGAACTCCAAAATGGCGGTAAGACATACTGGAATAACTTAACGTTAATTTTTTTTTTTAAACTGATATTTCCATTGCATTAAAATTATCTGTATAAATAAAGCATAACAATTAAATAAATCCCATCGAAGACTGACCTGTTCATGGAGGTCCATGACCATGGCTCCTTGCTGCTGCTGGGCTGCGTGATGGTGCTGCTGCTGCTGGTGGTGGTGCTGGTGGTGGTAAGGGTGATGATGGTGGGCAGCAGGGTGCAGTAGTCGTGGTAGGGTGGGAGGGTGGAAAGCTCGGGGCTCCTCCAGGCCCACGGCCCCGCCCCCGGCTGTGGGAGGCTGACTGTAGACGCTAGGCGTGTGTGTCGTGTACGTCTGGTGTATGGGAGGGTGGTGGTGGTAGTTCTCATCCTGGTGCTCGGATGGCGACAGGCGAGGGTGGAGTGGTGGTGGGGGAGGCAGGTGACGGGTGGGTCTGGAGAGACGGCCGCGCTGACGCCTAGCTGGCGGGCTAGAGGGGGGGAGAGAGGGACAGTGTTACATTGGGTCCTCCTCCAGACATGTTTACATGTAAAATACTATGATTAATATGACATTTAAAAAGGGGTTATATTATGCTCATTTTCAGGTTCATATTTGTATTTTGTGCCCCTACTGTGACATGTTTACATGCTTTAATGTCCAGGAGGGGAGTGTGTTGAGAGAAACTTTGGGATTTTAGCCTTTGCAGACCATTTACATGCATAGAAACCCTATATAACACTACAGGACAGGGGACATGCCCAAAGAGTACAAAAGGGCCTTAACATTGTGTATCCTAGACATACAGCGTTGTGCGTGTTAGGTTGAACACTATACATCAAGATGGCGGAGCGGGGCTCTGGAGCATGATCCAGCGTCTGGCCTTTTCATCTCCGTTAAAAGAAAGATCGAAGAGATTCAGCGACAGATGTTTGACACAGAAGAGTAGTTGGTTTTATTAGCGTCTTAAAGACAGAATGTTTAGTTTGTGGTTTTCTGTCTATATTTTCTTTTTGTATGTTTTTTTCGCTTGCAACTGGTAGACATTAATACATACATTTATATCAACAGTTTTGACGTAGAAATTGCTCAGCTATTGCATTCACTGCTTATGTCTTGTACCAGATAAAACACCATAAGTGAAGTGCGTACACATTTGAACTTTATTGGAAGTGGGCGTAACTTGGGAGTGGAGCCGTACGTCAACAAGAGGACTTACCTGCGTCTGAGCCGAGCGGGGGTGAGGTATCTCTCTTGGTGGTAGTGCGCGTGGGGGTGAGGCTGTCTCCGACTTGAGGGTCCTGACTCCCAGGGGCGGATAGGGGGAGATGGGGTGGATGGTGGGGGGACGGCTGAGGTTAGCTGTTCCAGGACAGTCTGACTGGACAGCCTCTGGCGCTTTGGACTGGGGCTTTCCTCGCTCTGCAGAAGGAGGAAGGAGGCAAGAAGGAGGGAGGAGGCAAGAAAGTGGGATGAGTGTTGTGGTTAGTGACCCATAGCACTCGAATCTAATCAATTTCACTATGCTGCGCAGGCCTACAATCTATACTGCTGCATGGACATTAAGTCCTTTGTGACTCATGGCATTTCCTGTATGGTCCACCGTGAGCGTCTGTGTGAAAGAGAGCATATTACACCAGCAGCACTCTGAGGCCTTCAGGGTACAAAGTCACTTCCTCTCGGAGTGAGGAAATGCAAGACAAGCACTCACAGGCCCATGTGCCAGTCATACAGAACACTCCCTCAGCAAATACTTTTTCTTGGAGACAAAACAAAGGCAGTGACACGGACCCACACACAAAAAGTGAGATAGCTGAACATGTAGTCACCCAGGTTTAGACTGACTAAAGAGTTATCATAAACTCTGCTTCATTCCCACCAACTCATCTGTGAGTCACTTCTCTTCGCAGCAGTGACTCTCACACTTGGCACTCTGTGAGGCAAGAGCACACACGTTTGCTCATGTGTCAGTTGTTAGTCATTCTGCTGAGCCGAAGCTGTGCTCTGAAGAACACTCCTGTTCTTTAAGGGGCCACACACACACACACACACACACACACACAGAGAGTGCGATAGCTAACAGGAAACAGCTGGAGAGCGGGCTGTAGAAATGCACAGTTATGGAAACGCCCGCAGACATGCACAAAGTCACATTTACACATGGGCAGCTGCCTCTGAGTTCTACAGCCCATAAAGAACAATACCTTGTGAAGCTTCTGAAGAGGCAGATGCTGCTAAACTAAATGTGTTTTGACTGTTAGCAAAACAACACTGACGACTAACGGCTGTATCGCTCACTAGAACTGGATGTGACCTGAGCTTGAGCAGCTGATGGGAAAGACAAACAATAACAATGACTTCATTAAGACCCGAGCAGATGACTGCACGATGAGAGGCCAGGAAAGAAGGACGGACAATGGAAGAAAAAGGGAAGTTTCAAAAGATGGAAGAGGGGAGAAGCTCGGTGGAGCCACCACAGCCTGAATAATGGAACATATCTTGGGTCACAAAGAGAGTCAAACACCCCTATATTGAGCTTAATGTTTAAACTGCCCTTAAACTGTTAGGAATATGTTTCGAGAAGTATTTATTGGGGCGGGGAGGGGGGGTCATTTGATGTATGAAACAGTTTTATGATGTGGAAGAGAATGATAACATCCTAAATCTATTTTTAAATACACATCTTTCTATAAAATGACCTTGATATTGATATTGATGGACAGTAATACTACAAAGTCAAAGTGAGCATTATTAAGTGATTTGTTAAAAAACAAATACTTGAATACAAATTGAGAAGCAGTCAAAAACCTTTTAGGTAAAAATAGGTCATTTGTGCAAGTTCGCATAAATAATTGTTGCCTGTGTGTGCACATTACACAAATACACACTCTGCCTGCACACCATCATTTGCCTTTAATATCGCACAGTGAACAGGAGAAGATCCTAATCATCATCCCTATGTATTGAAACCGGAATGGATTTTGCATCCATGTTTATTTAGGTAAATGAAACACATATTCAGATACGAGTATAATAAATAGATCTATAATGCATGTTCTGATCAAAAGTGAAATGAATGGCAGGCACACTATCTATGCCCATGTCTACACAGGCTGGAGGGTACCAGCGACATGCACCCCACCCCCAAACCTCTCCGTTCCTCTCGACAACAACCCCCTTCTCCTACGACCCTACACCCCACAACCTCTGCACCAGCCCCGACACCAACACCCTTGGGACATCTACTGTGCCCATTTTCATATCTAAGCCAGCCTCCTCCACCCGAGCCTGACATATTCCCTCCCCACCCTCCTCCTTCCATCCCCCCCCTTTCCTTCCGTCAGATAAGATGAACCCCTCTTCTTCCCTCACCCCTTTTTCCTCCGTATGTCCTGTCCGAGACCCCAAGACAAAAAGTTATTCGACGGGACACACAGAAACAAACACACTCTGTCCTAACACATGCAGACTATCGGCCATTAGTATGAAAGTTTGATGGGCTTGTCTACCCGCGTTAGGAGGGGGGGCGGTGTCAGACAAAGGAGTGTGTGTGTGTGTGTGTGTGTTCAAGCAATATGCCTTATGTTCCAACACAGTGCTTGTTGTGAACATACACACCCTCGTCTGGTCCAACCACATTTTCACTAATGCTAGAAAAATAAAGAAAAAAAACATGCCGACTCAAAACACACACAACACACAACAAACAGTGACTCAGGGTACTGCCCAGAAACATTGTACTCTATTACAGCACCACACACACACACACCGTGTTCTAGTGCACCATGTCCACATTTGGGATGTGCATGTACACACTAGCAGTAACTGTGGCCAGCAGCTGTTGTGGCTTCGCTGTCAGTGCTGAGAACCAAAATAAAGAGCAGGCCCTCGGAGTGCATGCAAACACTCGCAGGAGAAAGTGAGCCCGGGGTCTCTTTTTGCTCGCATTCAGAAAATTGCAGCGTGAATGTGAAGATATCGCAAAAATGGTCATTTGCTCCTTTACAGATTCATTCATATTTGCTTCCACTCAAACACTTCTCCCCACCCCCACTTCTTTTCTTTCCATCAACAAGATTTCAAAGCCCATTTTGTTTCCTCTGCCACTGTTCCTCCCTCCTTTTCCTTCCCTCACTCCAACCCAGTCCCACAGCTGGAGGTGAAATCATTAGCAATACCCCCTCCCTCCCATCCTCCCTCTTCCTCCAAGCTTTCTGCAACACCTTCCTCAGCATCCTGCCTCCCCTCTTCTCCTCGTCACCTGCTTGCGGCTTCATCTGCCTGCCCACTTGGGTTTTCAATTAGAATGATATTAACAACATGACCTTTGTGAAAGTTGCCATCATTGACATGGAAATATTGCTAGCATAGTCAGCTCCTACAATTTCATTGAGAATCAAGAAAAAATAAACTGTTGTGTGGCGTAGTATTGAGAGCACAATTTCACATGGAGAATTTGTGTCAACAAACAAACTTTACATTGCTCCACCCTTTGGGGAGGCACACTTGTATAATGTATAAACATTTGGGAAAGCAGAGTTCAGATGTGCAATCTATGCTGTGTTTGAGTTTTTAAAGAAGGTAAAAGCATATACAGAAGAACCTAAAGAACATTGACATACTGAACAACATCAGCCAGTAATTCAAAGAGCCAGAATAGCTCAAATTCCACTGAAGAACAGACACATCTTCTAAGCTTTTCATTGAGATTTTAAGCCTAAAAGCCTTATTTTATCAATTTCTTTTATTTGAAAATAAGTCATTAGAATAATATCCCAAAAATATAAGTTCTACCTTTACTTTATAACTGTAAAGTAAGATGGCGTCACCAAAACTAAAAGCCATGTTTACTGAATGTATTCAGCCTCCTACTCTTTGACAAATACAGGTTCACTGGTGAACATGACGCACATTGCACTCTGCATTAGAACGTGTACACACTCATTTGAAACACAAGTACACTTTACAAACTAGTCTGCTTTAGTGCGTTTCATTCCTTCACACAGCATCGGCTTAGAGAAGATATAACATTTAGACATGACACAACATGATCTAAATCTGGCTTAAAAACCATTCATATATGTAAGATGGTGTAACATAAATAATGTCGAAGGTGCTTACCTTATCACTCTCGTCTCCATATGCATGATCTGGATGGCAGTGGTAGGACCCTCCAGAGGCTCCTACAGAGGGGGAAAGCAGAATACAACACAAGGTCACAGTGAGACAACAATAGGGCTACAATCTGTTAAGTCTGGCGTTTATTATATTATGTTACTTGAATTCATTCATTATTCCCATGGAGAATTTGAGCTTGGGGTCAAATTCTGTGACATATTTTAATGTTCAAAAAGCTCTTTCTTTTTCTCATACTGCCTGTGCTGCAGCACCTCTTTTCACCCTCTGTCTGAAACCAGAGCCCAGTCTGCTCCGATTGGTCAAACACTTGGAAATGTCCCGCTCAGTAGCCTATCAAGTACCATCTAAACCATTGACATGCACCATAACCTATACAAGACAAGAAAGGGAAAACCCAAAATAGAATAAAAACGGAACCCTTTAAGATGTTTTATTTAAAAATACATCAAGGCATTCACTAGTTGGAATGCCTTATGAGATCAATACTTACAGAAAATATAGGATGCATCACTAATCTGCCACACTGATACAATATTGCCAACCACACTGGCAAACCTCTCAATGGTTTTTTTCTAAATGTCATTGAGATGTATCGAGTCGGGCCTCAACCCGTGTGTACCTGGCTTAAAAACAAGGCCAATATATAAAGTCCCTTTTTCTAAACATTCCCCAATTTGTATAAACAAGCATACAATGTCTGGTCCTGTTCTGCGTGAGTGTGAATTCTGTTGACTGGCCTGAGCGGCTCTATAAATGTGTATCACTTGAAATACAGAATACAAAAACATGTTGTTAATACCTATTGTTGAAATAGATAGCACCATTTATACCCAAGCACTGGGGAGACTCCCGTGTATCTACATACAGTACGTTTAATCCTTTTGTTGTTTATTGTTCTCGTGGATTTAATACACAGCGGCAAAAACACTGACAACATGTTTGTGCGGACTCTGCGGAGGGATGCTGCCCATGTGTAGTGCTCAGAAGAAACACATATGGTGTGCCATCAGATCAGAGGCAACACACGCAGAACAAACACAGTAATCCTGGATTAGAGAAGCTTTAGGATGATACCGCCAAGACTTTTACGCTTTTGTTTTTCCACAATCCTTTCATCTTTTCTATGCTAGCTTTTTGTTTTCCCCTTTAGCCGGGGACGTCCCCACCACAGATGGAGGCAGGCCAAGGGTAAGCGATCCCAAGGGCACTCCAGATAAGGCTACCTTAACATTAGAGATGAAGCAAGCTGAAGTAGAAGGGAAAAGATGCCACAAAGGTGGTATTTTTCCCGCTCACGGCCTCCCTCTTTGAAGAAAATGTGATTGACAACAAAGAAGCGATGGGGGAGAAAGAAAGAGAAAGAAGAGGCAGGCACAGTGAGGTTTCCACAACTGATCCATGAACAAATTCCTCTCCAATCCCTAGAGCAAGGCAAAGTAAATGGAATTAAAAAAGGCTGAGTTAAGTAAAGCTTACATTAGTATAGTGAAAACCGACTAAAAGGCTATATATATATATATATATATATATATATATATGAGATGGTTTGAGACGGAGTGCTGGTGAGGCATTCATGGGACTCTCCGCTCTTCTGTAAAACACCCATTCACCGGTCACAATAGGCAAACATCCAGCTTCCTCCCTGAATGTGGTCTCACTTGCACATTGTCAGAGTTCGGTAAATGGAGTCAGAGACGAGTCATTCAGTCGGAGTCACTCTATAGAGGCTGCAGGACAGGTTTCAAAATGTGCGGATGACATCATGTCCACTGTTGGACGAACAGACTGCACACTCGCAGTTTAGTTTCAACACTTTAGGGCCTTGAGGAAAGTGGAATAATAGGATGACGGTATGGATTTTAATGTGTGAACACAGTCATTCCCTCTCATAACATCCAGGCCGTTTATAAAAAAAAAGATAATATAGGCAATTTTCCTAAATATTATAACCCATTTACCCTAAACATAAATCACAAACTATCTCATCAAGGTAGATAGTGGGGACTTAACGGGACTCTAGCACCTCTTTTCACCCTCTGTCTGAAACCAGAGCCCACTCTGCTCCGATTGGTTAGCTGGACGACTCGGTTGCGATTGATAAACAGCTTAAAGATGTCCCGTCCCGTCCCTTAGTCAATCATGTTCAATGTGTTGGAGCGCTGGCCAATAGACGTGCGAGAGTGATGTCACTATGTCGCAGAAGTTAACAAAGTAGTCAAATCGTGTATATAATCGATATACATGTATATCCAAAATGTACATTATTAATTGAACTATCATAAGCCTCATATGATTGTTATGGACAAGTTTCATGTACAGTAACCATTTGAAGACTCCTACCCTTTATTGGACCATTTATAGTGAAATGGTACGACTTCCCTACGCATGTTGGAGAAGAACACATTGATAGACGTTGTGAGTGAAAAGCAAAACCTAGTTCAAATGAGATGGTGTCCTTTATAACGAGAGGTGTGACGTGAGAAGGAATCCTTTTAACCGGACGGTTCGAGAGTAATTCTACGCGAAGAACACTTCCCATAATCTGCTAAATGAACGACAATAACAGAAGAAGAAAGAAAGAAATGTGCGATAAACATTTCTATCTTCACATAGTCGTGCAAGTCCACCACAATACACAATCCTTCTGACGCAAGCAGTAGCCTGTAGAAGAAAAGAGGATGTCTCTGAAAGAGGGTTGAAGACAAGACCAGGAGCACAACCGTGATGGGAGGTGAGGATGCAGGGGGGAGGGGGGTGTGAAGGAGAGAAACGACAGGGGAAGAGAATGTGGGGGGACAAGAAGAGGATGGAAATGCACATAAAAGGGGTGAGAGCAGTGAGGAGGAAAGGGAGATCGGAAAAGATAAAGAGTAGAGGAGAAAACACACAAGGAAGGCGAGTGGAGGGGGAGAGAAGGCGAGGGAGTGAGGGTGGGGGTTGTGGCTTCCCCTCTTGACTGCTATTGATTTTCTGTAAGCCTCAGAGTGCATCAGCTATTTCTATCCATTTCCTCCACCTCTCCTTCCCTCATCCCTCTATCTCTCTTTCTACCCCCCCCCCCCCCTGCACTCAGCCCAGACACCCTCCCTCACACATCCTCCTCCTCACACTCTCCATCACCACCCATCTATTTCCCTATCTGCCGGCCTGTCTCCCTCTTCCCCCGTATATCTGGCAGCATCCACATTTCCCTGCTATCCCTATCGCACCATCTCCGCCCATGATCTCCCATCACCCTCGGTCTGTCGCAATCTCCTATAAAACTTCCCTTCTTGTGTCAAAGCAGAAAAACACAGGGGGAAGTGGGCAGAATAAAAGCTGTGTGGATAGATAAGATGATAGATAAGTGACAGGCCCACTTAACAAATCATGAGGAACAAATGGGGGGAATTGGACAGACCGCTGTGGAACGTGTGCCAGTTTACATACAAATAAGTAATTTTAGCCAGGCATACAGTATGTGTAACACACGCACCTCTCACATCACCCCGCCTCCTGAACACATGTCACAGCACACTTCACACCCTATCGCTAAAGCAGAGTTGAGTAACAAGCTGGCGCACGGGCTTAAAATAGGCAGGGTGTAGCGTCTGCCCAGCCATTACCTGGCTAGCACGGCTTCACACGGGCCTGATGGCAAACGTGAATGTGTACGTACGTGCAGAAATAGGACTAATTCTTCTTTAGTGTTCTTATTACCTTCCTCTCTGTTCCGCAACTGCTCCTCCCAAGTCTAAAAACTGCCAACACGTCCCGCGGAAAAGGCGCGGGTATACGCTAAATACTTGATCGTGGAGTTTAAATGCACATGGCAGCTTTGAAAATAAGACTGCACTGAACAGAACACCAGTTTTTGAAGTACATCAAATTGGCAAATAAATGCAATACCTTCTGCTTCCTTGAACAACCAATCACAGCTGGATGAAACACACAGCACTGCAAATACACAGGATATGCAGTTGAGGCTGAGAGTTAAAGATACCCAGAAACCCTTTCTTTGCATCTCTTCCCGAGAAAGTTGCACGTAACCATTACTTATTTGCATTACCATTGATTCATCTGCCGATTGTTACATTGGTTAGTCAAATAGCAGAACATGGCCATCGAAAGCATCCAAGTGACATCTTTAATTGTTTTCTAACCCAAAGAAATGACACGATTATGTTGTCAAATGTAGAAAAGCAAGTATTCTCAATATTCAAGACATGGAATACAGTGTCATTTGAATGAGAACTCGATTAAGAAAGTAGTTGGTAGAAATGTCTGTCAAACCACTAGTTATTTTATTCCAACTATCATTGCAGATGTACTTGCCAATGATCAATTGATATGTTTATCTTAGGCTTGTTTTAATGACGTCGTTTCAAGCTGACCTGGGAGTCTTTGACTTTGTGTTTCTCAAAGCCTTATGGAACGCCATAAGAACATGTTCAGTCCGTGACCTTTACTTCGCTTGAGCAAAATGCAGCAGTTCATCTTTGGAAATGTAAAACAGCTGAATATCCTCAGATACAGGGGCTCTTTAAAGACAGGATGTGTGCAAGGGTGCAACATAAAGACTCATAGTGGCAGTATCAGTGCTGATATTTTGTCATTACAATTTTGGTCACAGAACTGAGAAGCGGTGCAGCGAGACACTTGCTAATCCTAACACTCTGGCCGGCATCATAAAAAAAAAATTAAAAAAATCATACCTTGATTTAGGGCTGCTCGATTATGGCAAAAATCATAATCTCGATTATTTGGGTTAATAATTGATATCAAGATTATTGAAAACGATTATCCAATTACTTTGAAAACATCCATTTATTGGAAAAAAAAGGGAACAGTATGTTTTTAACAGTTGATTACCCTGAACTTTAAGTATAATTCAACTGAAAAACCAATACAAAAATGTATTAAAAAATAGTCGTTTTATTTCGATGTTGTTTTCATAATCGTTGCAAGCCAAAACCGTAATGGCGATTAAAAAAAAATACGATTAATTGAGCAGCCCTACTGATTTAGAACAACGATTTGGAAAGTAGCCTATAGCATGTTATCTAGTTCTCAATACACATACAATTTCACCGCCAATACAAAGTGTTAGTCGATTGGAGTATTGCTACTAATGACATCCCTACTTTCAATTCTGTTAATGTGTTCAAAAGGAAAACTGTTTATACATGTTACTACGGTGACTTCCTTCCCTTTGTATACATTTCTGACACTCCTGTTCCTCCTTCCAGCCCACCCAGACGGCAACTAAACAAGGCCTGCCTACACAGTCAGAAGAGGTACATTAAAGTACACATACGCCTTACTCTCTCACTCATCCTTCTGTCCCCCCCCCCCCCCCCCCTTCTTATTCCCCAGTGAGGACAGATGCCAGCTGAGAGGGAGTGTTATAGGCAAAGGAAGTAATGGGACAGAAAGGCAGAGTCTCACTTATTTTCTACGATCATAAATATCAGCGCCATCATCACAAGTCGGCCATCAACTCAGGGGAGCTTCTGTGAAGAAATGCGCTTTTCTGTGTCTTTGGGGAAACTAATGCATAATGTAGAACCGCACAATGGATGCCAGTACATATGTGAAAGACGTCTTCCTTAAAATGATAATGTCCGTATTAGGATTTTGAGAACATTCTTTCCTTAGGTATTCTTCAAAATGAGTTGAATAAGCGATTACAGATACTGGCTGTATCAGGCCAATAATGACAAAAATAGGTTAAGATTTATTTAGATTAATACAATAATAAAGACAACATTGGACTACAAAACTGACCAAATACCTCAATCTACACACTTGCAGTAGGGTATTCACTTCATGTGCTAACTCACTTTGCATGACTGTTACAACAAAAGGCAGGAAGAGGACAACAAGCGGTGGAAATGGGGAAGGAGACAGACATGTTGAAATGACAAGAAGACGTGTTGACACAGAATGACTGCAAATGACGCTGGAGATTACAATGCAAGAAGAAAGAAACAGTGAATGTGTTATCTCTAATATTCTGTCTGTCAACAAAAAACGACTGGCCCAACTCTCAAAACACTTCAGGGAAGGAAGTAGAACGGGCCAAAAAAGAACCCAGAATCTAAAGCTGAGTGGCTGTGGCTCAGTGGTTAGCGTGCTGGACTTGGAATCAGGGGATAGCAAGTTCGAGTCCCACTGCAGTCAGCACGTCGTTGTGGCTCCTGTGGGGATTGGCCACAGTGCTGAATGTATGGAAGTCGCTCTGGATAAAAGCGTCTAACAAGTGACAGTGCATCTGTGCTGCCGTCGTGTGTCGACAGAATCATCTAAAAATGAGTTCCCGCCGAACAACAACTTAGAAAGAGGTAACCAAGTTATTTTTAGAATCCATGTCATTTCCATTTTACAACCATTGTCTTGCACCCTTATCACAACCGAACGACACTAGCAAGACATTCCCAGTTGGATGATTCCAGTGACATCAGCAGATCCACCATACTTTGACTAATAGCAACTATTGGCTCCAACCACTGACCTCCCCATCGACCAGGCCTCCATCTGCTCGTAGCCAATCATTTTCATCTTTCTCCTTCCAGGCACAGTATCCACACCTCCTCCAAGGTTGCACACTTAAACTGATGCCGTCTCTCTGAGCCATGCTTACAATAACGCTCCTGTGTCCCTTCAACAGTCAGCCCTTTTCCATGAGCTTGTTCACATCCTCCTTTCTGTATTCCTCCTCTAATCATCTCTCCCTTTCCTCCTTCCTCATCCTCTCCTTGCACCCGACCTTCCTGAATGTCAGGCACTGCAATTTCTCCAAATGATAACTCTTATAACAGGAAAATCCAACACATTCACTCTTTTGAAGGAGTCTCTCTGCTTCCATTTCATTGTTTCAACATATTCTCCCTAAAGCAACATAAGCAGTGACATTTGGCTTCTTCTTTCCCACTTGTTTTACAAAACCAGATCAGAGCTACACATGTCAGATTGGTGCATCCCAAAAAAAAGCCCATCCATTGAGTGTAATGCTGATTTGAGGTCACTGTCCTCCACCCCCGAGATGTTCTCTTGCTGACCAAAGTGACTGCTTTGTTAGTTATTTGGAGTGACGGAGTAGCGGGGAACCCCTGCTACTCGGTCGAACCAAGTGAATGAGTTTCTCTACAAGCCGAAAAGGGGTTGCCCAGGCGACAAGACAAAGGAAAGTAACAAAACACGTTTCCACTTCAGCTCGAGACACAAGAACGGAGATGATAGGAGTGGAGTGCAGGGCTAAAGGTAGAGTGGCAGGAGTGTCTGCCCCTCTGCTGCTTTGGGCAATCCATTAAAACCATCCCTCCATTAGGCAAATGGGAGGGAGGAGGCCAGAGAAAATGGACCGGAGGGGTACAGAAAGGGTTGACTGAACTAAAGGGGAGGGAGAGATGAATGTCTAAAAGAGAGGCCAGGCTGTGACAGAGGCCGGTCAGAGTCAGGATATCAGCTGCTACAGAGGATGTTTTTTACGCAGTCAGAGCAATTTGGCAGCAGTTTTAAGCATTTGGTTGGAACTTAAGCTTAAGCACTTCTGCTATGCTTCACTTCTGCACCTCGAGTCTACATTTTGCAGACGCGGGCTCTCAGGAGTCCTTTTACTTCCATGTTAACTTCCTAAAATGGTAAGCGAAGCCGTGTGAACAGCACATGAGATAGAATGTCAAAGACTATAGGGGGGGGGGGAAATGGGATCGCTACAAACTGTATAAAGCAAGCATGAAACAACAAGGCACAAAAGAGGCCAGAAGATTTAGAATAGACTACTAGAGATTGAGAGGGAGGGGGGGGTTGAAGAGTACAAGATATCATTAGCTTTCATGCCCAACGCAGGTGACTAGCACGGGAAGAATGGACTAAGCATCTCTTCTTCTCCCTCCCACCAAGCAGAAGCCACTCTGGAAATGGGAGAGGGTCGAATAAAAGGTGTGTAGCGTCGGGGAAAGGTCCGGCTGGCCAGCTGCTTCACTCGTGCAAAAGAATATTCAAATATAATTTAGCCCCGAGGTTTCCTCTGGCTAGGTTCATTAACAATGTAAATAGCACTACAAAAAAAACACATTCATCTGTTTTTGTATTACAAAATAAAGCTTTACTTTTGAAGTGCTTCTAAGCTACCAAATTAGCTTATATACGTCTGCTACACTTCGATTGAAATATAAATGTATGCACACACAGACATTAAATGATTTCCATGTTATTATTATTCCTTTGTGCGCAGTGCCTTTTAAAGGTCTAATTGAAATTAATCGAGATAATGAGCGAGTGCTGTAGGATCTCGAGCCGCTGCCTCACCCCTCTAGATCGAAATCCATTTGGATGGAAATACAATACAGTCATTCCATCCATTGATTTGTGCTATCCTACATGTCATAGCCAAGGTTTCTATGACAAAGTACGGGTCGTAGGTCACAGCAGACCGGGAACAAGTCTGCTGATGACTCCCCGTCCATGGTGATGCAGGCGGATTTGTTTTTTTAAATCATTTGTTTCAGTTTGTCTCCCTTTTAGCAACATTTCCTTCAAACCCAGCCAACCTAAAGCGAGACATACAACACACAAATGGCTAGACTACCTATAGGCTGGCAGTGCAAAAGAGGCCTTTGTTTGTTGATGTGTGTTCAGCTGTTTTTCTTCTTACTCTCACAGACAGGTCAATCCAGTCCCAATACTCAGTTGCTGAGTCTCTTATGTAAACAAATGTAGACATTTGCGTCAGTACAGACACAGACTTGAGGAGTGTAGAGTATTGTTTTGTGTTTATACAAATTGCATTAGCGAATCTAGCATTTGAATTATATACAAGAAAATAAAAACAGCTGTAGTGACGAAGCTACATCGTGAGAGGAATGTCTGGGTTCTTAGTCTATACAAGTTATTCCAACATGTATGCATAATCATTTAGTGGACGGTTTTAGGAAAGCAACTGTAAGACATTCCTCTCAAACGATGCCTTTGATAAAGCCTTTACAATGGACACTACCAAAAAAACTGGTGTCATGATTTGCACGTGAATAAATGTAAAACAAATGTCTTTTTGTGTTCTTTTCAATGTCTTTCATAAATAAATTACCACTTTCAAAAAAATATTCCCCAAAGCACAGCAGGACACAAATACCAGCCGAGCATTCTCCTAACCTGAGAAGCCTGTTAGTTGTGCTGAAATAAAAGCTTTCCCATAGCCCCGCTGAATGTGAAACTCTAGCTGTGCTGTTTCTATGTGTGGCTTACTGCACTGCATTCACTGTGAGTGCCCTCGCATGTATTCTCCACCCATGCACACCCTCACTAAGTTTTGCTTGGCACTAGAGCATAAATATCAAAGTATGGCTTACCAAGACAGAAAAAAACCCCTATCTATGATTTGAAGTACTATGATTTTAGTTTGAGAGAACAAACCCCCATATCCAACAGCTATACAAGACTATGTCAAATAATAAACAAAGGTGTCACTACAGAAATGCAAGTCTTGTTTCCTTCCCAAATGTACAGGCCACAAATATGCCTCCTTGGTTATCAAGCAGTCCTTTTTGAATCTATGCCTAGCTTTGACAAAGATTAGACAGTTCACACGGAAAGGCTTGTTACCTAGCTACATCAATATTTGTGTAGTAGACTTAAAGTAGACATGCCACTGTGCCTTAAGAAAGAGTCTGGGGTTGACTAACTATTCACAGCAGTTCAATAAGCTCCAGGCGACCCCAGTCCCCACAGACTGCTGTTGTTCCTTTGCCTACTGTATGTGCGAGCTGCGTGCACCACATCCACACTGCAGCTCTCTGGCAGGCACATAAAACACCCCGTCTAATTAGAATACAACAAATGTGTTCACACATGCACAGGCACTTTTGTCATGCCAACCCCAGGACAGCCCCCTCCCCGTCTCTCATGTTGCCTTTGAAAACATATTAAACACCTGGACTTCAATCACTTATTTAAAAGCCTAATAAAGTCAAATAAAACGTGTTATTCAACAACCAATCTTGGTCCAGGGTACACTAGCACACACATTCAGTGACAATGACAAGTGGGGATATTTACCTTCCGCCGGGATGCGGTGCGCTCCGGGAACCGAAGAAAGCCTCTGAATGCCGGGAGAGGCGTTACTTCCTGGGGCTCTTGGCTGGTTCTCCGGGTGGTTGCTGTGAGCTCCAAGTGGTGCGCAACCGGCACCGTGCTGCTGTGGGTGTAGTTGCTGCTGGTGCTGGTGGTGGTTAGATCCCATGACTCCGCTGCCGGTTATTCCATTGCCGTTCCCACCGCCATACTGCTGGTAATATCCGGAACGAGAACGCGATCGAGTCCTTGGGGGCTCCATGGCCATTTGGTGGGGGTGAAGCGGGTGGAAGAGAAAAGAGGAGGACGCGGCTGGGGACTGCGGCGGAGAGCCGTTGGTGGATCCGGGCTGTACAAAGCCCCTAGCGCCGCTGTGGCTGTAGCTGTAGCCCCCGAGTCCTCTGCCCCCCTCCGCGCCCCCGTACTCTGTTCGCTCCGCCGACTCCGCCGCCCCCGCTTCGTCGAATAAATCAGCCCCTTTAGGGACAGGCTCCGGGGTGGAGGGCAGCCGGGGGCAAACTCTGGGCTCAAGAGTCGTTGGCTGTCCAGCGGCTGCGATTGGCATTTCCTTACGGGGGGTTTCCTCTGCTTCTCTGTCTGCGTTTTTCCTCTCGGTTCCTCTCACTGAAGAAGTCACTGTTTGAAAATACAAAGTTGGAGAGTGGCTAAACTGAGCTATATCACCGTGTACACAAACACTGAATGTTCACCCCCCAGATACTTTTTTTAGTCAAGCATTTCTGTTTTGACTAGCTACTTCCCCCAAGTTTGTCTAAGTAACGCGACTAAACACAGCGTGATTCCCCAAACTGGTTCAACCACTAACGACAACCTATTCAAATATCTCCAATATTCTCGCGTTTTCTTTACCTTAACAAAGTATGGGAAGTGGTTGGTGAATTAGATTTAAGATATAGCTATTCTTATTGAAACTAACGACAAGTCTGCTGGTATACCGGCAACGTTTAGTTCATAACAACCGAGGAGAGCGTATGGCCATGGATCGCTAGCTCACGGCAAGCTAATGCATGCTAACGTAGTGCGCATAGCTTATTTTGGTAAACGCATTATCACGCCTATTCTAACCGAGAACAACCGCGTTAGCACACCCGGACGCTTTCTGAGAGCCGTATGAATCCCCGAACTGAGTTTAAGTCAACTTTGTCCACTTTAACCACCATTTAAACTTGTTTAGCCAGTCTGTGTAAGGTCGTTCACTAGCTTGGCAATCCAAATGAACCCCTCCTCCTCCGCCGACCGACACATAGAAAAAGCCCGTAGCTAGCCTCCCACGCCTCGAATCCCTTTAAATTACTTGGTTAATAGAAACAAAACAAGAACGCTTTTTAAAAACAACTTATTTTGTTGACTGAGGGTGAACCGGTAAGGGTTTTCCAACTTAAAAAGGGGCAAACAGCCAAGCGCACAGAGAAATGTAAAAAGTGGTCAACCTAAAATTACAAAGAAAGAAGCAGAGCTAAAATTAACACGATCTTAACGAATGACCCCGCCTCTGAGTATACCGCTGAAACCCGGTCCAATTGTCTTTGCCCTGAATCGTTTTTTACAACGACTTACCTTGTATGTGCTCTCCTCGTACTGTACTCCTGCCTCGGATCTGTCGATAATATGGTGAGCCCAGCGTGTGAGTGTATGCGAATGTGTGAGTGTATGCGAATATGTGTGTGTGTATGCGCCCTGTGTTCGCTTGGAGTCAGCGTGAAATGTGACAGACCGTCAACGCTCAAGTAGGATTTCACCAGGCATGTTCAATCGATTCAAGAAAACCGAAACCGTCTGTAGTGGTTTCTCAGCATATACCTCTCCCAAACGCTCAGCGAAAACAAAAGAACACGAAACTATATTTAAAAGTGTCGATTATGTTTTGTTTTCATTAACTTTAAGGTATAACGGCGATTTTACCGGTACTATCAATTGTTTGTGGATCGGTAATCGATTATTGCTCCTTTTAAATCAGAAGCTGTGGATAGCAGAGAGGCAGGCTAAAAGGGGCTTTAAATTATTTATTTACAAATACCAAGCCTTGCCTTCCCATTGCAGCTGTTTCTTCTGGAGCCGCAAGTTCGCTTTGAGAATAACTATTTGCTGTGTTTGCAAAAGTTGCAAACCATTGTACAGTGGATTAAAAAAGGGAAACAAGATAACGATTGACAAACAGGAAAAAAACAAACAGGGTTGATTTAGCCCATGTCGGAAATAAATTGGCCTAATTCAATTTTCACCATCAAGGCTAAAACAAAGGCTTGTGCGACCCTTCTGCTACTGAGCCAGATTTCGGATGGAACAAGTTTGTACATGTGTCCACACACACACACACACACACACACACACACACACACACACACACACACACACACACACACACACACACACACACACACACACACACACACACACTTAGCTTCTTCTGTTCTTTCAATAAGATGTTAAAATATGATAATTTCTTAAACAAAACATGGTATTATGTGAATTCTTTTTGACATTTAACTAAATATGTGTAGTTCTAATATTCTATGAATCATCTGTCCTTATGTTTGTGTGTGTGTGTGTGTGTGCTCGTGTGTGTGTGTTTGGCCGACTGTGTGTGTGAAGGGTGTGATGGATGGCATGTGAAGGGAAGCATGCATGTGATCTCTGTCTGGCTGTCCACACACACACACACACACACACACACACACACACACACACACACACACACAATCCAAGTTCATCTCGCTCCCCATACCATATTCCCTTGGTCTTGTTCTCTCATTTCACACACACTCAACCCCAACTCAACACACACACGCACACGCACACACACACACACTCACATTCTCTCCTCATTACACTCCCTTTCCCTACTTTGATGATATGCAAATATCCCTCCCACCCTCGCCTCCCCTCCGTCCCTCCTCCTCTCCTCCCTCCCTCCCCCAAGCAGCATCCACCTCCACACACTCACACACAGGCTAATGCACTGTGGCAGCGTCCACAGACAGGCGGGGAGGATCAATTTTTCACCCAGTGTGCTACCGATATTCATAAGATAAGGCCACAGAAGAGTGAGGAGAGTGAGGAGAGAGAGGTGGGGGAGGGAAGAGGAGTGACATAGATGGGAGTGGGGAAAATGGCGAGTGGGTGTAATGAAGAAGAGGTAGGGTGTCCAGGAAAAAGGGTGAGAGGGAAAGGGGAAGACGACTAGGCAAGGATGAACACGGGTGAGAAAGTAGGGAGGGGAAGTCTTGTGGGTGTGCAGGAGGGTGGAGGCAGGATGAGTAAGTGGGTTAGGGGTGGTAGGAAAGGGGGATGGGGTGTAGAGAGGGCTCTGGGGGATGGGGTAGGGAATGGATGGGGTGGTAAGGGAAAAGGAGGGATGGTGTGTGGAGGGGGGGTTATTTTGCTGACGTGCTCTCTTATTGGCTTGTTCAAACGCCGGGGGAGGGGCAGCAACAAACCATATTCTCACCAGCTGTAGGGAAGAGCAGAGAAACAAAGAGAGAGAGAGAGAGAGAGAGAGAGAGAGAGAGAGAGAGAGAGAGAGAGAGAGAGAGAGGAGGGGGGCAGATATGTGTTTTAATGTTGATATTCTGGTCTAATTAGATTCCTGTCTAAGTGGCGGAATGAATGGCGCTGATCAGATAGAAATAGGCGTAGTAGAAGATGGGAGCAGGCTTTGTTTGAGTTGGAGAATTCTGATTTGTGAAGAGGTGCTTGATCTATAATTCAATTTCACTTGAGAGACAGATAGGAGCAAATTGTCTCTCGTGGATATATTCAAACTCTAATTTACACGTGTAGAAAAAGGCTTCCTTCTGGATTGCAGCTGAATTTTAGATGACTGACACGTCCTTGCTTTTATACCCCAGGTTACCTAATGGTTATGCAATGTCTTTTTGTTCGGTTATAAGTGAGAATAACGACATTTAAAATGATCCAAATGTGTGAGTCTAGGTTCGATGATAACAAAAAAGAAACATATATGGCCATAAGGCGTGCAATGTCTGCCCAGATCAAGTGTGGAAATATTCAAAATGTTCCATCAAATACAAATAAAAGATTAAATAGAACAGAAAAATAAATACCATTCCTGCACACACAAGAAGGCAGATTGAGAGCCATGTGTTTGTGGAGCCCAGCTGAACCCCGCCTGCTAAACCAGTCCGCTGGCTGTGACAGACTGACAGGCAGGGAAATAGAGAGCGTGGTGTGTGTGTGTGTGTGTGTTTTGGAAGAGAACACAAGAAGAGAAATTGAGACAAAGAGGCAGATTGACCAATGCAGACGGACACAACCGATAAAACAGAAAGGAAAGAGACAAACAGGAGAGACATGGCGACATGGAGAAACATCCAAAGAGAGGAACGCACACTGTAGTGATACACAGAGAATGAGGGAGGAAAGAGGAGAGGGAGCCAAGCTTTCTGTGGCTTAGCCAGACTGGAGCGGTGGGACTTGGCTGGCTGTGGACCCTTGGCTTCACTATTAAAGCAAAGAAGAAAAAAAAAAAAAATCACAGTCAAAAAATGAAAAGGGCAAAGAGCTATGCCAAGAATGCACAGGCAAGAAGCAACACATTAGGTTATTTCCTTCTGCCCGCCTCTCTGTTTCCCCAAGCAGATCCAAACAATAGGTGTGACCCGCCACCAGAGCCGAGCGCTATACACTGGTCAGAACCCTGCTGAGGGACCTTGAAGTTTAAAACGTAGCTTAACATCCCTTAGATATGCATTTTGTTTCATTCAAGCTTTAAGGCTGGTAAAATGGTATTATCCCACACAGTCTGACTGTGTCATACATTTTATCAGCTTGTTCCAACCCTTTATCGAAGGTTCTTTATACTTGTAATATTTAAACCCAAGTAAGACGTTCTTTATGGTTGCATCATCGTATCAAATGGATTTTAGATCAATTTAATCTTTTTTTAACCAAATTCAGTTTGACATATTTAGGGCATTTGATAACTTTGCAGTCTCCATTAGAATTTGATATTTAGCTCTGTGCGTTTGATCAGTGTTTTGCTGCTAGTCTGAGCTTGTGATGAATTATCCGTCAGCCGTCCTGAGTGTGTTACCACTTGTGTTAATAAAATAATGTATATATATAATATATAATGAATCACACTTATGTCTGTAGCCACGCTGGCAGCGCTGTGATGCTGTACTTAGCCACTGGGATGCTTTGAGCTAAATGCCAACATCTGTATGCTAAATTGATCACAATTACCATCAGAGACACATTACAATGCTAGCATACTGATGTTCATTATAGGTATGGTGTTGCCGGTGATGTTCAGATCCCAGTTCAGTCTAGCGTGTTAGTTTGCTAACTAAACAAAACCAGCTGAGACTGATTGGAATATGGCTATTTAAAAAAATAAAAATAATTATAAGAATAGCTTAGATTTATATAGCGCCTTTCATGGGACCCAAGGTCGCTTTACAAAGAAAAACAGGAGTAAAAACAAACAAAAACAAAAGGCAGTCAGACAACCAGTCAGACAGACAACACAACAAATAGATTAGGGGCCGAAGGCCTTAGTAAACAGATGGGACTTGAGGGCCCTTTTGAAGGCGTCAAGCGTGGGGACGTTGCGGATCTCCGCAGGGAGATCGTTCCAGAGGGTGGGGGCTGCCACGCTGAAGGCTCTGTCCCCGAAGGTTCGCAGTTTGGTGCGGGGGGTGGTAAGCAGGCCAGAGTCTGAGGACCGCAAGTTCCGGGGAGGGGCATGTGGACGAAGGATGTCCGATAGGTACTGGGGGGCAAGGGCATGGAGGGACTTGTAGGTGAGGAGGAGGACTTTTAGGTTATGCGGCAACCAGTGGAGGTGGATGAGGGTGGGAGTGATGTGCTGCCACGGCTTTGTGTGCGTGAGTACCCTAGCAGCACAGTTTTGGACATACTGGAGCCTGTCCAGGGTTTTGTTGGGAACCCCGAACAGGACACCATTGCAGTAGTCCAAGCGGGAGGTGACAAACGCATGGACTAGGGTTTTGGCAACCGACTCCGAGAGTGACGGTCGGAGTCTGGCAATGTTCCTCAGATGGAAAAAGGCCGATTTGGTCACAGACATGACGTGGGAATGGAAGGAAAGGGTGGAGTCGAGGATGACACCCAGGTTGCAGGTTTCAGGAGATGGGGAGATGGAGCAGCCGCGCCTTGGGTGCCACAACCATGAGCTCTGTTTTCCTGCTGTTTAGTTTGAGATAGTTGGACGACATCCGTGCTTTGATGTCGTGCAGGCAGTTGATGAGAGACTGAGGGGGGAGCTGGGAGGATGGAGTGGTGCTGAGATACAGTTGGGTATCATCAGCGTAACAGTGGAAGTTGAGTCCATGATGTTGGATGATCTGGCCGAGGGGGAGCATGTAAATGGTGAACAGGACCAAAGTTATGACCTGCTGGTGGCCTACACAAGCAGTACCAGATTGTATTGATCCAAAAGTTGTTGGGGCAGACAACCAAAATAAGTACAATCCATTCTCATCATCCGTCCAAAATGTCTAAAGTGTCATGGCCATGCATCCAATAGATCTTTTAATTCTGAACCAACATTATGGTCCGGCCACTAGCTGGGCTAACATTGACTTAAAATCTCTAATTGGCCTTTGTTGTTACTCTCACAGTGTATGGCATTGCAAAACAAATACTGGATATTTTGTTCTTGTAATTTATGGCATGGTGTGTTTATCTGTTGCAATGTGCGTATGGTATTTACAGTGTCTGGTTAGCC